TGAGGTACAGTTCAAAATGTTTATTTGGTAAACGATAGTTAAGTTGATTGTTAAAATCTTTGTCTACAGTTCTCTAAAAATACTAAAATAAGAAGATGTGGTATGACTGCCAATGATACAAGTCTCCGCCAGAGACCAAATGACATAGAAGTTAACAACTATAGGTCACCGTCATGACAATGGACAAAACCCATACCGAATAGTCAGCTATAAAAGGCCCCGAAATGACAAATGTAAAATAATTCAAATCAGAAGACTAACGGTATGATATACAGCAACAAATAACATCCACTGAATTACAGGCTACTGGCTTGAAACATGCACATACAGAATGTGGCGGGGTTAAATGCACGGCTTCATGATACGATGAATTGAAGTTTATTCTTAGCCATTAAAAGGATTGGCTTTTAGAATTCCTCGTGAAGTTCTTTTTTTTAATTATCCAATACTATATCTACAGTACTGTTTGTAATAACTTCAGATTGAGAAGATGATTTTTTTTTTATCTCGGCGAATTGACAAAGTATGAGAATTCTGTTGGGTATTCTAGTTTTAGATGATTAAGCGTGTAACTCGTACCTCACAGAATATGTTAATTCCATTAACATAATTTGCATTTCCACGTTTTTGAGTAGGGATTTCGTCTAAATTGTGAGAAAGCATTGGACAATGGAGGTGGCATATTTACGCAATATTAAATCAAAAGTGAAATAATGAAGTAAATAATAAAATTTAATCAGGTTATAATTGTTCAAAATACATGTATGATAATTATGTTTACTTCAGATCTTTCCCCAAGCTGATAGACCAAATGTCTTTGTGCTAATTAATTTTGTAAAATTGGAATGTTTTCACGGTAATTGAAAAGCAATCAATATACTGGAAAATGAGCTGTCAAATTAACTAGCAAGACTATTATTTAATTCAAAAAAAATCGAAAGTAATCACTACAATACACAGTTGTATCGAATCTATTGAAATTGAAAAAAGGTCCGGTTATATATTCATATATTCCATTAGCTGTTTAGATTGAATAAACTGTTATCACAGAGATATATCTCGCATTTTTATTATTTTGATAGTAAAATGCAATACTTTAACATGTAAGTTATGCAAAATATTCAAAGTCGATGAACCATGACTGAAGGTACAGGGCCTAGAAAACTCCAAGAAAATGAGATGTGCCTATGCTAATACATATGCATACCAAATGTCATTGACCTACCACTAGTGGTTCCCCATAAACTGACCAAACACAAACTAATACATGTAAATAAAACAAAAGTTTAAAAATCAATAGACCATGACTGAGGAGACAGGGCCAAACAATTTCCATGGAAATGAAATGGACCAATGCTAAAACAACTGCATCCCAGATATTATTTCATACCACTAGTGGCTCCCCATAAACTGACATAATCAGAAAATAATATATGTAAACTAAGCAAAAGGTTCAAAGTCAGTAGACTATGACTGAGGGGACGCGGTCAAATAATTTCCATTGAAATGAGATGTGCCAATGCTAATACAACTGCATCCCAAATATCATTGACCTACTATTAGTGGTTCCCCATAAACTGATCTAATCACAACTAATACATGTAAACTAAGCAAAAGTTTCAAAGTCAATAGACAATTACTGAAGGGGCGGGGCCACATAATCTCCAAGGAAATGAGATTTTCCAATGCAAATACAACTGCATACCAAATATCATTGACCCTCCTTTAGTGGTTCCCCATAAACTGACCTAATCACAAACTAATACATTGTTGACGCCGCCACCGACCACGCCGGAAACAGCATACCTATGTCTCGCTTTTTGACACCGTCAAGGCGAGACAAAAACTGTCACCCTACGCAGACCAAACCAACAAATATTAAAATACGAGTAAAACTATATATTTTACAGTCATGTTATACCTCTGAGTGATGTGATACATAAAGGAAATAAAACCTTTCAAAGAAAAAAATCACATAGTTACATGTACCCCTGAAATCTCAAAGTATAAAAAAAAGAATATGAATGTCAATTGCGAAAAGCAAGAAAAGCATTAGGTACATTACAAACTTTTATTTGGTAAACAATACTTCCTTAAATTAAAACGTAAGGATTTAAAAAGAATACTGAAGCGGTTATCATTATTTATGTATTATAGATGCAATGAATAAGAGTTGACTTTGAAAAAGAAACCATGAGCCCGGAGGGCGAATGGTTTGTTTTTCATGAATCAACGCTTATCCATTGTATCTATAACTTAAACTATTGCGCTGATGTCTTTTCAAAATTAAAAACCTTTTCTTAATTAGAAGGTATTATAAGTGAGTATGAATAACCCTGTTGTCATGTTCAACGATGCATTAATAAATCAAAGTTCACAATTAATTGGTTAGAGAAATACAAATTGAACATAACACGCCTGTCTTTAAATCATTATTCATCTGAATATTATCCGTTATTTACGTTAAATAAGACATATTCGAACTTATTTTTAAGTGTATATAATAAGTAAGTAATTATTATTCTAGCAAGAAATATATTTTTAGGGCACATCACAATTTACTCGCATAGGTATTTGCTAATAAACATTTGTAAAGATATGTAGTAAAAAAGATGAAATCACACTATATCTATAAAACAAAAAAACATTTTTTTTTCAAATACGTGAATTGGCCAATAATAATCCAAAAATAAACGGGAAAGCCCGCTATTATTACAAAAATATCCACAATAACATACAAACAAGTACAATAACAACAATACCGAATTCCAAGTAAAATTCAAAACGGAAAGTCCCTTATCAAATGGCAAAAGGAAATAAGAAACACAGAAAAACAAAAGAATAAATACAACAAAGGTAAAACAAGGATTCGAACATAAACCGACAAGTCTCGACTTCTCACTTATACTATACGATTGTCTATAAAGTATATATAAAGGTACATACCCTGTGTGTTTGTTGTAACGATGTGTATCATATGTTCATTTATGTATAAGAAATAGATATATAAATTGCAACCCATTGGTAGCCGAGAGGTGTCGTCGATGTGTTGATGTCAGAGGGGTTCGATTCCCAATGAAGGCATATAAAAATTACAAAAGTTAAATGTAAGTTTTTAAATTAATTCCATTAGTGAACAGAAATAAGTAAATTAGCCAATTCAAACTTAATGAAATTAGACACACAAAGGAAACAATTGAATATAATTTGGTGAGTCCATTTCAGCGACAGATTTAGGAAGCGTTGATTCTAGAAAAGAATCCACGATAAATGAATAGGTTGACGTCACGACAATGGTTTGATTATCAATAACATCCATAGAATGCATATTCAGGAAGATTTCTGTCAATCTAACTCGTTTGCTCTGCAAAGTTTGTCGACATGGAAAGGTTCTATGTTACGCATTGATATCCGTATAGAAACTATTTCAGCAAGAAGATGTGGTATGATTGCCAATCAGAAAACTATCCACCAGAGTTCAAATGACGAAGATCAAGGAACTATAGGTCAACGTACAGTAGTTGATACATACACATTTGAATACATAATGTTATTCCATGTTTAAAATGATATCCATGTAATATGTTTCCAACACAATACTTTGAAGACTGCAAAGGGTCATACTTTATATGCAAAAACAGGAAACACTTATAGCAACAATCACCAAGTTTAAAATATTAAACTACAGCAACTAAAAACAATTAAGAACGTATGACACAATTGGCGGTTTATTATTTTGCCATTCGATGTCAGTATGTAAATATCCAATTAACAACGAATATGAAAAAATCGTTTGGAATCAAAGAAGAAGTAACAAATACTAGCTAAACAATGGAATCATTCTTTTTTTCTTTATTCAATTCTCATCTCAGAAACACAACAAAATCATCTTGACCTCATATTGAAAAGTTATTATTTCATGGCCCTGTATTAGCAAACCTTAACAGAACCATTTAACATGAATAGTTCATGTATATATTAGGTATATAACACATAAGTGGCAATATATGTATTATCCTTAAAACTTGGTATGCGTTTATATATTCCGTCGGCCCACAACACTGACAGGAATTTATTTATTCTAACATTCATGCCGCGAGGTCTTAGAATGCCTAAATGAAAATAATCTTAATAACCTCGTTTGTTTAAAGAAAAAAATATCTTTTCGAAAATGATTGCTAACACGGCTATTTTAGTAGAAAGTAAGCGTCCGACACAACCATCGCTACATGTAATACTGCTCACAGGGTGTGCACACACGATTGACGTTAATTGATCTAGAGAAAACCATTCTGAATAATAAAATCATTTTCAGGTTAAATCAAGCGATCTTCAGTGTGAAAGGCTATGTGTTACACCTTGAACTTTTACATACACAACGTCTTAATATAAAATGAGAGTGTATTTGTACATGTAAAATGGTAACTATTTTAGACGCTGATATAAAATATTTGTTTTTACAGTGTATTTGTGCATGTTATAATCTTGGCTTATTTACTGTTCGAAGGGTATACTTTCCGTACTATATATTCATACTTTGTTTGATCTGTAAATGGTCTTTAAATATTAAATTTGTTTGCAGGTATAAATATTTTTTTGTTTATTTATTTACTCTCTTCCTTTTTTAAATTCAGCAGCCGTTTTTGAGTTCTGAATAATGAATTTAAGGAGCCAAATCCTGCATATGCACTAGTTAGAATATCTCTTGTAAAATGGATATAAACACCAACATGGTATGGAAAACAAGATATTCCACAAAAAATTGTTCTGCATAATAGAGCTCGACTCTCTTCATCTTATATTCCTAAAATATAAAAAGTCAAATCTAATTTTTTTTTCGAAACCTGATACTCAAGACACTATATTAACAATTTCTCCCTTTAACTTTATCGTGTTTATCATGTATATTAATAGATATTACGACTTTTGATGTGTATATGTATATTAATAGATATTACGACTTGTGATGTGTATATGTATATTAATAGATATTACGACTTTTGATGTGTATATGATGTGTACATGATGTGTACATGATGTGTGATTGTTTTGACAATACAAACTGATATTAAAAAATGTATAGCTGGAACCTGTTCATGCTGTTTTAAAGGTATCTATTTTTATTTGATTAACAGTGTATTTATATTTGTATTTTATTCAATCTTAAAAGGATAATAGTTGATCATATTTGCATTTATCGTCTTTGTAAAATGTCATCGACCTAATAAATTATAATAAACATGAACCGTATCAAATCAAAAATGATTTCTTAAAAATTAACTGTGAGGTAAACTATCATCAATACAATAACAAAGGAAAGCAACACAATACAAATGATTAATAGAAGGGATATAACTCCTTTAGATTTCCTCATTATGCAGTACAACGAAGGCATACTATTATTGATATGGGACGAAGGGAATACGTGCCTCAGTGACAATGCAATTATGTAGTCCTTCAAGGGTTCACCAGGTGGGGATTTATACGCATTTCAAAGGAATACTACCTAATAAATGGGGGAGGGGGAGGGGGGAGGGGTTCCAGCTTTGATTTTCGTTGATATTTTCATGATTTAACACACATTCGAAAAACATCTGAAAGACCCCTCCAGGTTAGCAAATAATAATCACCTTTGTTAATAAGTATCAAGCAATCACAAGTGGTAAGCAGACAGAAGAAACGAAGAATGACATTAATACGAGTACAGAAAATATAAAAATATATGCATTAAAATTCGCCGTTTCGTTATCTTACGCATTCAGGCTATGTTTTCAAAACTTTTTGCTTTATAAAAAAAGTACGTGAGCCTTTCATAGTCCTTTTCCGTTATTATCGTAAATCTTTAATTCTTAAAAATAGATATAAGTTTTTTGTAACATATGTATAGTAATATCCTATATGTATAATCATAATATGAATGTTTACTATCAATGAGCCAATCAAATGAATTGGGGAATAGATCGGTAAAAATTGTTTAAAAATGTAATGCAATAACAATTACCAATTAAAATGACGAGTTAACGCTGCCTTAGATAATGTTCCCTAACGAATATTTATATCCCGGACAGGGATCAGAGCAATGCATGAGGGCGGTACATTAATTAAATCTAAAACACTAATCTACAATGAATTCGGTAACTAATTTCATTAAACAATATCTGTTTGTTTGTGTCAGTATCAGAAAACTAGTTGCTCGGCCGTTTATACCCCCCGGAACTTTGTTGTTTGAACATATTGAATATGCAGTGCTGTAAAATCAGTTTCATTAAGAAATGTTCTATTAAAGTTAACATTTTAAAGTTGTAGATCTCATTGTATAAAAGCCAAAAATTCAGTAATATATATTTTTTTTCTTTTAACATGATTTAGTCTAGAGGAGATCACCTTTAGCTTATACATGCACCCTTTAACGCAATTACTGCAGTTAATACTGTGAACGAAAAACAAACAGTGGGTATGAGGCACAGCCGATGACCGGGAACATTTACAGTATTACTCTGATATTTCACTAAATGAGAAATTTTTCAACAAAGTATCCTCAGAATTAGCTGACTTCATCATTCAGCTAAAAACAATAAATAAACCACTTTTTAACTGAAGACTAAAGCTCATCTTATGTCAAAATGGAATCAGATGGACAGCCACCACATTTTGATCTTTCTGAGGATGAGGACGTATCACTTCATGTATCACAGAAAAGGAATTTTCGCCGTATCAGAAGTATTTCATCGTCTGACTTCGATGACCTCGATGACAGTGATACAGATATATCAGTTCATTCTTACGCGCAAGACATCATACAAATGCATACCGAAGTCTTAATTTCTGGCCTAAGAGCATTCTTGATAGACCACACATTGACTGATGTTGTTATTAGCGTTCAGGAAGAAACTTTTAATTGTCACAAAATAATTCTTGCAGCTTTTTCAACCTTTTTCAAATCAATGTTTACCTCTGGAATGATGGAAAGTGATCAAAGTGCAACTGTAAGTTTACCAAACATTGAACCAAATATAATGAGAAAAATTATACAATTTATGTATGTGGGAGAAGGCTTTGATTCAGAATTTGCAGATGAGATGTTACTGACTGCCGATTATCTTCAAATAGAAAGTATAAAGACCGTGTGTTTAAAACAAATAAGGCACAAACTCAACTGTAATAATATTTTCAAATACTGGCGTTTGTCAGAAGAAAGTGTAGCATACAAAGATTTGAGACGTTCCTGTAAAAATTTGGTTGCAAAGAATTTCAAATTGTTGTGGTCAAAAAATGGTTTTGTACAACTTTCCTGTAATCAAATTGTTGCATTGCTTCAAGAGGAAAGCCTTAATGTTTCTGATGAAAATACAGTATGCGATGCTGTAGACCGATGGATTAAACATGATATTGCGAAAAGAAAGCGAAATTTAGCATCAATATTTGAAAACGTCCGATTGCCATTAGTGTCGGAGGAAAATCTCCTGAAATTCAAAACGGAGTTCCCATACTCAAAGGACTCTAAGCTTGATGAATTCCTGAAAGAAGCTAAATGCTTTCATGAAAAATATGACAGACAGTCGTTGTTAGTCGGGCAAAGTATGCGCACAACTTACAGACTTAGGTCAAGACAAGAACATGTATTAATTGTACTTGCAGGAGGAGAAGACGATAATAACGAGCGTTCTAGAGCAATGTGGAGCTTTTGGCCAAGCATGATGAAATGGAAGCGTTTATCAGATCTCCCAAAAGAAGTGCATTCTGAAAATTCCGGACCAGCAACTTGTAGTTATGGCTTATCAAATATCCTATACTCAGGAGGATATGAAAATGATTGTTTCTATAGATATGATGGAAAACATGATAAATGGATAGAATTACCACATCTAAATCATGACAGAGCAGGGCACAGTATGATAGTTATAAAGAATTGTGTATATGTATTTGGCGGAATGGCTTACGATTATTCGCCCTCAGCAGAATTTTTGGCGCGAAAAAGTTTCAAGACAATTGATGCTTTTAATATGACAAATCAATCCACCGGACAAGATGATGAAAAATCGATGTTTGAAAACAAAAAAAATACAGATCATTTTGATGAAAATATAGACAGAAATGACGATACGTCGACCATTAAAAGTGAAAACGAGTCTGATAATGACGACCATGGTGATACTGGAAGCTCAGATGACGATACGGGCGGAGGCAATTGGACTAGATATGGTAAACTTTTGCATCCAATTGTGGACGGACAAGTTGTGGTAGTTGATGAGAAGATTTACATCTTTGGTGGAGTAACTGTAGATAGTGAAGAGTATGATTCTAACACATGCGTGCAATGTTATGATACCTACCTCAAGACCTGCTATATATTTAAACATAATGACCTCGGAATTCAGTTAACAGAATCAAATGTGTTTGGTTGTGACGATAACGTTTTCATTCTTAGTAAAAATTTAAAGAGTTTTTCAATTATATCATATTTCAAAAGAGTTGGAAGTGTTTCTCGCAATGAAGAGAAGATACAGTTTGTAGATCAGTCCTTTACTAAGTTTCCGCCAGAAGGATTTCTTAAGAGTGGCAATAGCTACTACTTCTTAGGGGGAATGGATGGACGTATATCAAATCATGTAGTGAGTTACAACTTAAAAACAAAACACACGTCAATTTTTGAAGATGGTGCTTCCTTGCCTAGCAGCTTGACTGATTTCTCATGTTTAACTCTTGTTCTTGAAAAAGACATTTACTGGCGTAATTGAAATGTTTAACAATTAATATGTGAACATATTTTTCTGACAGTTTGTTTTTGAAATACAGAACACAGATAACGAAGCCTCAATTTCTCTCTTTGTGTTTTATTTTTTTTTGCTATTTTCTTTTATTCTATGATCTATAGGTAGACATATATCATACATAAGTTATACTTATAAGATTATATTTACATACACGTTACAATGCATTAGCTGCCGTTTCATGTGGACAACCATCTTGTAAATTGTTTGAGAATTTGTCATGCTTTTTATTACTGCACAGTATACTTTGTGCGCATTGAATGTCGTAGGGTATCCTATAGTTTTTTACATTCCCGGTATTTGGTTACTAGATACTGAGTCATCTGCAATCAGACCATGTCTTCATTTCATTATTATTAGCAAAGATGTGTTGTTCAATTTGTGTATAGTCAGAGAGACATACAAAAAGTTTTGCACTTATTCAAACATGATACTGAATGCCTGTAGTACATTTTTTCTGTTATACTGTCAACAACACCTTTCTGCGAATTGATTTTACCAAAGGACAGAAGTACTGTGAGCCTTAATCCATAAATTGTAAACTCATTTTGAAATACTAATGGATTCATTAAATAATTTCATCAAGCACAAAGATAACTCAAAAATGATGACGTAGATATTTTTTCCGAATTGGTTTAGGTTGTGAAATCTTTGATATCAATGTGAATAAAACAAATGAATGTGCCTCTGAACACCAATGCTATCTTTAAAGATCCTTAGTTTACATTTATCCTTTTCAACCCTTTAAACTAGTATTCCCCATTCTAAACCTAAAGATAGATTGAAATAATTAGTCCATCTTTGTTTCATACAAATGAATGGTAAAATAGATTCCTGATACATCTCAAATGAAAATATTAGGTCCGGTGACACAGTTTTCGTCCTTTGAATTCCGTTGTCTACAATTGGAGTAACTAGTGCGGACAGTTTAAAACTTGCACATACTTTTTTACACCTTCTAAATTTATATCTTTATATTTTATGCATAACATAGTACGTTTGGGGATGAAATTACACGTATAAACACTTTGGAGTAATTTTTGATAGGTAAAGTTATGATCTGTCCGGTTTGAAAAGGTCAAAAATTATTATGCTTAGATCTAAAGCTATCAAACTATATTATACACTCCTTTTACATAAAATTATCATTATGTCGAGTGACAGGCTATATATAGACCTTTCTATAATTTTTCTATAAGTTGTCCCTATAGTAGTACACTATACTGTTTAAATATTTTGTTGATAGAGCAGGTGCGATTTATTAAATTTGCGTTTTCTGACTTAAATAAATGCACCACGATATGACTGTTTTCTCGGACAAGTGGTTGATATATGTCTGTTTCGATTTACTATGTCATTCTGTCGGGCTGTTCAAAATAGTTTTTATAAGAATTCTTCGACTGCTTTATAAATTGTTTATATATTTCGTTATTGTAATCTTTATTCAAAGGTATGACTTTCGGTCTAATCTCATTTTCGCATTACCTTTAATAAATGATGGTTTTATAAAATGGCAAGACAACAAAATACACCACGCCTTCAAGAGTATTCGCGTGCTCAAAACACCACATTCTAAATATGAATTGAACCGCCGTCAAACAGAATTGCACCTGAATTTAGCACTTTTTACAATTGTGTCAAAGGTGGCAATGCCGCTGCAGCCAGATTATTAAATAAAAATGCACGTGGATATCCATAAACATGATAAATGTTCCCGTGCAATGCCAGAAAATAAATAACCTGATCTAGATTATCTTCTAATAATACTGTTAGGTCAACAGTGAACGGAGATATTTTTCTCCTTCCTTTTCTTGTGACATTAATTGAAAAACTCAAAGCCTCATTTATCTGGTTACTATAACAAAGCCAAAGTGTGGTATACAATTTTTAGGACAAACAGTACGGGACTTTTTTAGACGAACACAGGAACATCTATACCGCTTCCGAAAACCTAAGAAATTCAAAAGTATAATTTACCATTTAGAAAACACAATCACAATATAAAATTTATAAGATTCCAACCACTCGAAACGTCCCAGAAACAACAAGGACAATCGCATAAACAATTTGAAGATTCCTGTAGAATTATCTAACTGCTAACTATTTTGGATTAAATGACTGTAGTCAGCATATCCCCTGGTTCTAAATTACAATATAATGGGACAAGGGAACATATCTAAACTTTTTCCATTGATATCATGGATATTGTTGATAAAAGACAAAGTAATAATAGGTCTCATTGCAAACGTATCAATTGAAATTAACGAATTAAACATCGTATATATTATGCACTTAATGATCTTCTATCTATATTTAAAAATAATGGTAGGCATCAATTATTATGTAAACTGAGTCAAATACCAATTAGTAAACTACTTGAAATTTTCAAGCAGTGTTGTCACGAAATAGAAGTTCCTTCATAATATAAATTCAAAATGGAATAAATATTCAGGAATATTATTTCCACTGGAATGAATATTACAGTATATGTTCCTAACGGAATAAATGTTATAGAATATTTGTTCCATCAAGAACAGATATTATGACATTGTTTATAACAAAGTTTCCAGTGGAACTTCTGTTAGGTGGAACAAATATACGTTGACAGTGTGACACCATCTCGTTCGTCAGACCACTCTATGAATATTCGCGTATAATATCAGCGTTTTGTTACCCTAGGTTGTTCCTTAAACCTGAAGATCATAAACGGCTTTTCCTGAAAATTGAATATATTAACAGAGATATTGATTTCATCAAGTTATCGAATATATTTAATTACTCTACCATCAAAACTTGATACCTCCCTATTTTGATAACACAAAACCACCTATTATTTCGTATACATAAAAAAAACAGCAAAAGTTTAAATTTTGATTATACGTCAGTAACATCAGACGCCAGTGTAGAAAATAATACTCCTCTAACTTTAGACTGTGAATCGTTGAGTTTTAGATATAATCCTTATTGCCATAATATAATGGGGGACCTCAATATCATTTAAGACCGAGAGGTTAATTTTTTTTTTGGAAAATAACCAAAATATCGTCCTCCATCTAATAAAAGACACTCTTTCATCGTATTGTAAAACTTGGTGTAAACGGGAAAAATTTGATAAAAATCTTTTATCTAAATAGATGTATATGCATGTTGTATATATTCGAATATTACATTTTGAAGATAAATTAGAAATAAATAAAACAGTATATAATACATCTATTCTAAGAAACAGACTTCATGTACTCGCAAAGTGGTTTGTATTTGTACATGCCGACCAAAACCGCCGGCAATGTGATGGTGATATGCCATAAATACTACACGGACGTTCTTAAGAACGAAATTTTAAATTCTTCTACATTTTAGTCCGTGCGCCCACAGAGAGTCAGATAGTAAACAATCATATCATAACCACATCACAGCTTAAGGCTTCTTTTGAACATTTGAAGGTCTCTGCTATTTACTGGTTACATTAACTACACTAAAAACCAGTAAAATATCATTTCATCTCGGCCTCTAATCAATGTTCTATTACTAATCTTTCAGAGCTTTTAACTATGTCCTGAACTACTATAAAAGAACTTTTCATTAATTATTGTACTAAAACATATGAAAATAGTGCAATAAACTATTTTTGGAGCGTTAAAAAGTCTTTGGATGTTTTAAATAAAATATACTTGCTGTAACGCATTTAAAGCCTTCTTCCCTAATAAGAAAGGTAAATATACTAGATATACTTACTGGAGTTGTGATGAGATAATTGAAGCTGTTGATTGTCTCCTTGATAATATTTATGTAAGTTTCAGCAATAAAGTTTATCGACAGGTTGTAGGTATTCCTATGGGCACCAATTGCGCCACTCTAATAGCTGACTTTTTCTTGTACTGTTATGAATCAAATTTTTTGGCCAAACGCAGTAAAAAACCGTCTAAATTACATTTAATTGATCAATTCAACAACACTTACCGTTATCTTGATGTTATTTTTCGTTAAATATTCAAGAATTTCCTTAATATACTGCCGAAATTTCCCCAAAGGAAATTATCTGAAATAAACCAAATATAAACGGTTATAATTTCCCCTTTTCAAGATTTAGATATTTCAGTTATACACGGGAACTCTACACTAAAATTTACGACAAAAGAGACGATTTTTCGTTCCCTATTGTTAATCTTTTTTTTTTGGACGGTGATGTTCCTTTGTCACCATCTTAAGGTGTTTATATATCACAACTCTTTTGCTATGCCCGTGTCTGTTGTGACGTATTGGATTTCGATGAAATTAATCTATGTGCTACAGGTAAATCATTAAGTCATGGATTTCTTTACCACAAATTACTTTAAACCTTTACTAAGTAATTCCATAGATATAAATATTTGGTTTGGAAGTTTGGTTGTACCTTATTTTAAACGGGATATCACACCCTAATTTTTACGGAGATGTTGTTTAACGAGCACGAAAATTTAGATACGATCAGGGTACATGTAAACTTATCGACCCTTTAAATAAACTAATTTTAAAAGGTTACCAATTCAACACTATAATTAGATCTTTGAATATTGTTTTTATTGGTATTAATTTTGATTTTATTATCAGTAAATTAAAATCAAACTAAATATCATGTTTATATACATATGTACATTCATGGCTCTACAATCTGTGGATATCTTATCTTGGCATTGCGCAAGGCCATTTTTTTTTCTTTAACTGTTAATAACGTCTTTACACTAAATCCATTGGTTGTTGGGTGTGTACTGATTGGTATTTAAGTCTTAGATGCATGATTTTTATACTAGTTGTTATTGGCTTTGAACTAGCTGTCAATAAAACTGCGATTACTCTCAGATCTGTACTCAGTGTCTTTTGTTGTGGTAATGTATAACTATCCGTCCATGTCCACTCTGTGTTTTTGTTAGATGTAATTCTGTGTTGTACCCATCTGATGAGTTAAGCCCTTTGCAACTGATTTATACAGTTTGTTTTTAAGTTGTAATATTAGACCACTGTCCAAGGTTAAGGAGGTGTTGGCGCCTTCAAACTAGTTTAACCCCGC